GGAGGGAAGGAAAAAAGGAAGGAGGGAGGGAGGAAAACAGGGAGGGAAGAAGGCGGGGGAAAAAGGAGGGAAGGAAGGAGGGAAAGAAGGAGCCATTTATGGCCATTTCTGTCCCATTTTTGCCCATTTTTTACCAGTTTAAGCCATTTTTTGGCTATTTTTAACCTGTTTTAAACCTTTTCCCATTTTTAAGCCATTTTTGGCCATTTCTAAACCATTTCTGGCCACTTCTAACCCATTCTTTGCCATTTTTTGCCGCTTCTAACCAATTTTTGACCATTTCTAACCCATTTTAAGCCATTCTTGGTAATTTCTAACCCATTTTGGCTTTTTTTTAACACATTTTTCCCATTTCTAGCCCATTTTATTTTTTTTCTTGTATTTCTAAACTGGTTTTGGCCACTTGCACCCCACTTTTGAAATATTCTAACCCATTTTAACCTTTTTTTTTTTTTTGCTATTTCTAACACATTTATGCCCACTTTGAAACTGTTTTATGCTTTTACTTGCTATTTCTAAACTCTTTTTGCCATTTCTAACCCTTTTTTTGGCCACTTCTAACTCGTTTAAAGCCTTTTTTTTTTTTTTCTTTCCAATTTCCACCTCATTGTGGCCCATTTTTAACTCTGTTTAAGCCACTTTTTCTAATCCATTTTTACCCATTTGTCACCAGTTTTAAGCCATTTTTGGCCACTTCTAACCCAATTTATGCCACTTCGCCATTTGTAACCCTTTAATGTCCAATTGTAACTTGTTTTTAAGCCATTTTGGCCATTTCTAAACCATTTTTTTTTTTCATTTCTAACCAATTCTGCCCATTTCTTACCTTTTTAAATCTATTTTTGGCTATTTCTAACCCATTTAAAGCTTTTTCTTTTGTGGCTATTTCCGAACAATTTATGGCCATTTCTGTCCCATGTTTGCCCACTTCTAACCCATTTTAAGCCATTTTTGCTGATTTCTATCCCATTTTTACCCACTTCTTACCTGTTTTAATCCATTTTGGGCCATTTCTATCCCATTTTTGACCATTTGTAATGTGTTTTAAACCATTTTTTTCCTTCTCTAAACCATTTTTGCCCATTTCTTATTTTAGGTATGGGATGCTTAAAAAAAAGTTACTAAAACAGACTAAAAAGCAAGGACAGCTGAAGAAAAAACATGATTGAAAAAGCAAATAGATAAAAATGCATAAAGAGAATAAAAGCAAAAGCAAAGAATGTGATTATAAATGCCTACAAAGCAAATACAAAATGATAAAAGTGAACAGGGCAGGGCACGTCTCACTGTTGCTGTCATGCGTCCAAAACTCTGTACTGCAGGTGGTGGAGATGGAATGGGGGCAAAGGAGTGGCTCAGGGCAACGCTAGCTGCTACCATCATAGAATCATAGAATAGTTAGGGTTGGAAAGAACCTTAAGATCATCAAGTTCCAACCCCCCTGCCATGGGCAGAGACACCTCGCTCTAAACCATGTCACCCAAGGCCTCGTCCAACCTGGTGAACATCTGCCAGGCGAACATCTGCCACCTGGCGAACACTGCCAGGGATGGAGCATTCACAACCTCCTTGGGCAACCCATTCCAGTGCCTCACCACCCTAACAGGAAAGAATTTCCTCCTTATATCCAATCTAAACTTCCCCTGTTTAAGTTTGAACCCATTACCCTTTGTCCTACCATTACAGTCCCTAATGAAGAGTCCCTCCTGAGCATCCCTATAGGCCCCCTTCAGATGCTGGAAAGCTGCTATGAGGTCTCCACGCAGCCTTCTCCAGGCTGAACAGCCCCAACTTTCTCAGCCTGTCTTCATATGGGAGGTGCTCCAGTCCCCTGATCATCCTCGTGGCCTCCTCTGGACTTGTTCCAACAGATCCATGTCCTTTTTATGTTGAGGGCACCAGAACTGTACACAATACTCCAAGTGAGGTCTCACAAGAGCAGAATAAAGGGGCAGGATCACCTCCTTCGACCTGCTTGTGACGCTCCTTTTGATGCAGCCCAGGATATGGTTGGCTTTCTGGGCTGCAAGCGCACACTGAAGCCGGCTCATGTTCATTTTCTCATCACCAGCACCCCCAAGTCCCTCTCCACAGGGCTGCTCTGAATCTCTTCTCTGCCCAACCTGTAGCTGTGCCTGGGATTGCTCTGACCCAGGTGCAGGACCTTGCACTTGGCATGGTTAAACTTCATGAGGTTGGCACCAGCCCACCTCACAAGCGTGTCAAGGTCCCTCTGGATGGCATTCCTTCCCTCCAGCGTATCAACCGAACCACACAGCTTGGTGTCATCGGCAAACTTGCTGAGGGCGCACTCAATCCCACTCTCCATGTCAGCAACGAAGATGTTAAACAGGACCAGTCCCAACACCGATCCCTGAAGGACACCACTTGTTACTGGTCTCCAGCTGGACATTGAGCCACTGACCACAACTCTTTGTGTGCGGCCATCCAGCCAGTTCTTTGTCCACCGAGCGGTCCATCCATCAAATCGATGTCTCTCCAGTTTAGAGACAAGGATGTTGTGTGGGACAGTGTCGAACGCTTTACACAAGTCCAGGTAGATGACATCAACTGCTCTACCGCTGTCCAACAGTTCTGTGGCCTCATCATAAAAGGCCACCAACTGGTCATCCTGTGGCCGAAACTCGGTACTGCAGGTGGAGGAGACGCAGTGCGGCACCTTCAGGCACCCCGGGGCCGCCATTGGCCGAGAGGCCTGTCAATCACTCGTAGCTGGCCCTCCCGCCGCTCTGATTGGCTCAACGCCGCACGTGCAGCCGTCTTTCTACACCGCGTGCAGTATCGACTATCGGCCACATGATGGCAGCACCGATCGTCTCCTGGTCCGTACCTCTGCACACGTGGAGTGCCGCGTTTTGGACACAGAGTAGCGCCGGAAGGCGACCCCCAGCCGCTTTTCCCCCATCACCACCCACTTCAATGCCCAATTTTCGACAGAGAATGGAGCAGCGGGCGGTGCCCAGGGCCACAGCGCGGCTCCCCCCACCCATCAGTACCGAGATTGCGACACATGATGGCAGCAGCGAGCGGCGCCTGGAGCCGCTCTGCCCCCTCATCCCCACCACCTTCAGTACCGACGTTTGGACAGATGGTGGCAGCACACGCTCACTTTGTCGGTGCCGCAGAGGCAACGGGCTGCGAAATAGTTGGTCCCCCCCCACTGTCCATTCTCCAGGGAGTGCTCCTTGGGGTGGTTTTTCTGGTTTTGCAAGCCACAAAGGGTTTCTCTCGCAGACATCACCTACATACACAGAGCTCCTGCCCTCGCTTGGCCACCTAAACCTCCATCTGCGCACAGTCTTTCTGGTGCCCACTCTCTGGTATCTTGGAGTGGGGATGTACTCCTAGAGAAAGCACACTGGGGTTTGCTCTATGGAAGAGCCCTTTTCTCTCTGGGACCCCTTCTGGGCTACAGACATCAGCCCAGAAGTAAAGCACTGCTCATCCTACCTCTTCTATCCCAGGTGGTGTTTGCCCCACCCCTGCCCCAGGGCATTGAGGGAGGGGTTGTGGGTGCTGGCTGGGGTACAAAGGCACAGTGCTGGAGGGAGGAGCTCATTCAGCTCCTGGGCTTCAGCAGGGTGAGTTCTTTGGGGTTGGTTTTGTCTTTAGTAGCTTTGGAGTCTTGTGGTGTTTTGTGCTGTTGTGTTTTGATGTTTGCTGCAATGGAATCAGCTGAGTGAAGAGTTTCAGGATGAGTCAAGATTTCCTAGTGTGTTCATTATCAAGGGTTTCTGTAAGCTTTTCTTTTCCAAGGGGTTGTACTTATACGAGGTGTTGAGGTTTCCTAAGGTTGCTTATTGGTCTATTTTGCTTCTTTTGTTACTGATCTCTGAATGTTTCCTTTTCTGGAAGCAGAGTTTTGAGGTTGCTTTTTATTACTTGTGTTATGCATTAGATTATTAGCTGAAATATTTCCTGCTGGGAGACCCAAAGTAGAGCAGTGACAAGGAGGTGGAAGCAGGAGTCATGTTTTAAATGTCAGTAGCTTGGTGAAGGGAGAAGCATGCCTGGTGGTTGTTGCCCATTGTCTCCAGCTGGGGATCTCATGAGCAGTTCCACCAACACAGCAGTCAAGCCATGCTTTACTGTCTTTGGGAGTCTTTTACTGCCCTTGTGTTGAGTGCTCTTGAGTATCCTCAATCACAGCACATGCAACACAAGAGTACATCTCTTGCTTCTGCAGCTGAGGCGCTGCTACAGAAAGCTGGCGGTGGGCATCACCTACACATGGAGGCACCCGGAACAGTGCCACCAATATGATGAGCAAGCCTGTGTAGGTGATGGTTAACGGCAGCTTTCTGTCCTGGTTCCTCAGCTGTGGGAGCAGGGGCTAGACACTCATGCTCTGTGCACTGTGTTCTGGGAAGCTCAAGAGCAGGTGCCAGAGAGGCGGTGTGCAGATGGGGTTTTAGGCAGCAAAGTGAGGCCTTTAGATTAGAGGCAGATTCAGATTGTGTCCTTGTAAAGCCTACAAGTTCTCCACCTCTCCCCTTAGAGCTTCTCTGAACAGATTTCAGCTGTCTGTGCCTCTGTTTCCCTACCTGTAAACCAGGAAGAACAGCAATTTTCCCCTGCTTCTCTGTGGTTTCCAGTTTGCTGTTTTCATTTAATTCCTCCCTATGTTTCTTTGGAAGGCAGCTAGCACCAGTAAGCACCAAATAGTCCTTCTTGGCCTCAGGTTTGAGTCAGCTACACAGGCATTGGCTGTTCTGTGCTGCAGCAAAGAGTGTGCTGGCGACACCATTCCTGCATGGATGGTAAGCAAAGGGTTCAAAGGAAAATGGGGGGAAACAGAAAAGTCAAAAGCCATTTTTCAGGGTTCCAGCGCATTCTCCAAAGTGGTTGCATCTTTTTGGCATTCCCTGATGTTTCAAAGAGCTTTGATGCTGCTGGATTGTATTATTAGCAAATAGGCTTGGAGCATTCTAGTACTGCTTTTGCTGGGCTAATGTCAATTCTTGTTCATTTTTTCTCAGCCTTGTTGCTGCTGTTGTCTGCATGAGGTCATTCAGAGCCAGACTAGGGGAAATCCAGTGAAGACTGCTGGGATGCCTTCCATCTTGTACCTGCATACCAGGAACTGGATCATATGATGGTAAGCAATATCTATATGCTTTTGTACATCATACACAACCTGTAAAATTGCTTTAGTTCCAAGTTGGCCATCTTGTATTACCCAGAAGCAACTGAGAAATTTGGGGCTAGCTTTGTATATAGATACAGATGAGGAATCTGAAGCATGTCTTTCTGTAGAAAATACCTATGTTTAGATCAGACTCAAATTTACCTGGAAAAAGGAATTTGTTAATGTTCACTGGGACTTGAATGCTTGTGATGGAAAGAAAACGAGAAACAAGTAGTCACGTAGTTGCATGAGCTGAAGCAAGTGAGATAGGTGCTTAGTGACTTTGAATTCTTAGTCTGTTATTAAGGAAGCGTCATTGCTCCCTTTGATCAAAAGACAGGTTTCTGCTGGCCTGGGAAAAGCATTTCTAAATATTGGCTGGCAAGGTGGTGATTTGAAGCATGGCCCCTATCTACCTTCCCTTCCCTAGCAGTTAATCTGTTTGTTATGGTCAAGCTTTGTACTGGGATTTGCGAGTGATGTCCAGAAATCCCCGGTCTGCCTTGCAATGGTTTATCTCTAAACTGGACATGCAGAGGAGAGGCCACTGCAGGTTCTAAGGGTTGCCTTGGTAAGATGCGTTTTGTCCTGATCAGTTGGAGGCTGAGTTGAGAGAAGGCAAATGGATGGAGCGATTACCTGCAGGGGGAGACACATGTGCTCACATGGCAACTGAGGCAATTGAAGGAAAGGGTGTAAGTTGAGTTTCCGCAGTGGGTGAGAACCCTTCTTGTAGTGGAAAGCATTAACATGGGAAGGGAGAAAGGAGGTGGAAGAACTAACTGGCAAGAGTTTTGGCAAGAGTCTCTTATTAGAGGTTTTTAAAATCTCAGCGCTTGATTTCCTCTCCATAGTCTTTCAGTGTGGGAAGTGTAGAAGAGCATTAAAAAGCTTCCACTGACTGACCATTTAGGGAGCTCTGGACCCCCAAATTTGGTCTTGTGTGCTCTGTTGAACGCAGAAGCTTTACACAGATGGAGGTTTAGGTGTATAAGTAAGTGAGGATATCTGTATTAGTGCCACCATTCTGGAGGGCACCCTATGTAGAACCTGACCAGTTATTTGTGTTTATCCTAACACATTAGGTTTAGGCACAGTGTCTGGGCATTCACACTTACGGAACTCATTTATGGGGTGTCTGAGAGCGCTGCCCTGCAAGGTTATACACAGATGGAGATTTACATGGGTAAGCAAGGGTGGATTGCTGCGTTGGTGGCACTGTTGCGGAGAGCACCACGTGTAGCTGATGCCCAGCACCAGCTTTATGTCCTAACGCATTAGGCTTAGGGGCAGGATGTGGATATTGTCACCTAGGGAGCTGTTTTCTGGGTCAGCGGAGAGTGCTGTCCAGTGAGGCTTTACAGAGATGGACTTTTAGGTGTATAAGTGAGGATACCCATATTGTTGGGAGTATTCCGAAGGCTACCATTTAGAGGAAATGCACAGCTCCTTTTTCTGTCCTTAGGAGGAGATTCAGGATGTTTGTGTTTAGGGAGCTGGGTTATGATTCACCAGAGAGTGCTTTTCAGTGAGGCTTTACACAGATAGAGTTTTAGGTGTGTAAGTAAGTGAGGATATCCATATCGGGGGCACCATTCTGGAGGGTGCCCTGTGTCGAACCTGACCAGCTACATGTGTTTGTCCATACACATTATGTTTCAGTACAGAGTCTGGAGCTTCTCACTTATGGTTCTGGTTTATGGAGCATCTGTGAGTGCTAGCTTGCAAGGGCATACACAGATAGAGTTTTACATGGCGAAGCAAGGGTGGATTGCCATGTCGGTGGCACTGTTGTGGACAGCACCACATGTAGCTGATGCCCAGCACCAGCTTTATGTCTAAGACATTAGGCTTATGAGCAGGATTTGGACATTTTCATTTAGGGAGCTGGCTTGTGGATCAACGGAGAGTGCTGGGGAGTGGTTGGACTTGCTGATGTTAAAGGTCTTTTCCAACCTGGTTGGTGCTATGGTTCTGTGATTATGCAGTAGTTATTACAGTCTTCTTATCTCAGCCTGTGGGTATTACACTTCTATAATTCTCCTCCCCATTAGAGTGGCAGAGTTTCAGTGGTTCAGTGAGGACGTGGCTTGAGAGCCAAGGTGATCAAGGGCCTTGTGTGGAGGAAGAGTTGGTTAACGCATTGTGCTGGGTCTGTGTTTTGTTTCTCTCAGAGACAATGGCAGTGCCTGGCAGGGTTGATGTGAACCACGTAGGTCATGTGGGGACATGGGTTAGGGAATGGCGAGTGTGTCAGGGCTTGTCTTGGAGGGTTGTGGGGAGTCAGGACTGGGAATGTGTGGGACTGGCCTGGTGGGAAGGGCAGGGAGCACAGCATGTTGCACTCTAAGCATCATCATGTGTCTTTGAACCCTGCAGGTTACCCATGGGCTGAAGGGTGTGCAGATTGAGAGCAAGGGCCGCCTGTCTCAGAGGAGGACTATGGCAGCTACACCAGTGTGTGGCCACAAACAAACTGGGCAACACCAATACCAGCATCATCCTCTACGGTAGGTGTCCTGGTTTCTTTTTGCAGCAAGGTGTCATAAAGAGGAGGAAGAAGGAGAAGAGAAGGAGGAAGAAGAAGAAGAGGAGGAGGAGGAGGAAGAAGAGGAGGAGTGGCCAGTGATGGAAGGGTGTGGGTTTTATTTAGCAGTGCCAACCCAACAAGGTGCCAGATGGCACAAGCTCTGAGCTGTGAGGATACATCAGAGGATGACAAGGAGACCTGCATTGGTCCATGCAGGAGGGCACTGCTTGGCACTTCTTGGTGGCAGTCACCTTGGGTGTTTAGGGATGAGTAGCAAATGGTGAAGAGACAGACAGGACATCATTGGAATGCAGGCCCAAGGAGTGGCCCCATGCAGGTAAGGATACACTCTGGGGACACAGTGTAGGGTATTTGCAGGTTGTCCTATCGGGAAGGATACAGGCAGTAGTTAAAGGGCGCAGGCAGTGGCAGGTTGGGAAGCATAGGTGTCAAGTGACATAGTTGTCAAGTTGGGTATTGCAGGTGTCAGGCTGAGTGGTTTAGATGGCAATTGAGGAAGAGTAGGTGGCAGTTTGGCTAGTGTAGGTGTTAGCTTGTGTAATAAAGATGTTAGGTTTGGTAGTGTCAGTGTCACTAGGTATTATAGGTGTCAGGTTGGATACTGCTGGTGGCACTTTGCGAGCTATTGGTATTAGGTCAGGTCTACAGGTGGCACTTTGGGAACAGTAGGTGTTAGGATGCGTAGTGTAGGTGGCACTTGAGGTAGCATAGGCATTAGATTGGTTCTCATAGGTGGCACTTTCAGTACTAGGTGTTAAGTGTTAGGTTGGATATCATAGATAGTATATTGAGTATAGTAGGTGTCAGGCTGAGTGGAGTAGGTGGCACTTGAGGTGGCGTTAGATTGGAAATCATAGGTGTTAGGCTGGATGCTGTTGGTGGCACTTTGGGTAGTATAGATGTTAGGTTGGATGCTGTAGGTGACACTTTGGGTACTATGGGTGTTAGGCTGGGTAGAGTAGGTGTCAGGGTGGGTAGTGTACGTGGCACTTCAAATATTGTAGGAGACAGGCCTGGTAGCATAGGTGGCACATTAGGTAGTGTTGGTGGCACTTGAGTTGGCCTTAGGTTGGATATCATAGGTGTTAGGTTGGGTAGTCTCAGTGTTATCTTGGGAACTGCAGGTGTTAAGTTAGGTATCATAAGTGGTACTTAAGGAACCGTAGGTGTTAGGCTGGGTATCAGAGGTGGCACTTTGGGAACCATAGGTGGTAGGCTGGGTATCATAAGTTGTACTTAGGGAACAATACGTGTTAGGTTGGGTATCATAGGTGGCAGTTAGGGAACATAGGTGTTAGTTTGGGTGGCCTGCAGCAGAGTGAGTAGAGCACGAATGTTTGGCCTCTGCTCCCACAGCCGAAGAGGCAGGACAGAAAGATGGTGCTGGGCCTCTTCTGCAGACAGTGAGCTTTGCAACAGTGCCACCTGCATTGCTGTCGCTCCTCACTTTCCCACCTCAAAGTCCGTTTGAGTCCAGCCTCTCTGGCTCTTGCTCTCAGCTGTCCTGCAGCAGGGTGAGTAGAGCATGAATGTTTGGCCTCTGTTCCCACAACTAAAGAGGCGGGGTAGAAAGCTGGTGCTGGGCCTCTTCTGCAGATAGTGAACTTTGCAAGGGTGCCACCCGCATTGCTGTCAGTTGTTTCTCTCCCACCTTGTCCTGGGTTCAGCAGTAGCAGTCATTTTTCTTCTTTTTAGTAGCTGGTGCAGTGCTGTGGTTTTGACTTTCAGCCTGGGAACACTGCTGATAACACCCATGTTTTTATTTACTGCTTAGTAATTTTTAGTCTGACCATGGACTTTCTGAGTCTTTTCCTCTGCCAGGGAGGAGGGGAAGCCGGAAGGAAGCAGAGACAGGACACCTGACCCAAACCAGCCTAAGAGGTATTCCATACAACAGCACGTCATGCCCAAGATGTTAACTGAGTCTGCTATTTTGATGGTTGCCACCAAATCATTCAGGACTGCCTTTGCACCTGCATCACGACTGCCATAAAACACACAATTTGGGGCAGTGTCTATAATTTACCAATTGTGGACATGCAGTATCAGTTTGCTCTTTCTCACACCCTTTCCCCTGACTGGAAGGGTTGAGGATGGCCCCTACCTGAGTCCCCACACCCTTGGGTAGGGAGTATTCTGGAGGGTAGGTTTTGTCCAGTTAAGCCCACCAGTACTTTTGGATCACTGACTGATTCTGTGCTTGAGCATTTTGGGCATCTCCCCACTGCTCCAGTCCTGCCAGCCCATCTATGCTAAGCACTTACAATCAACGGAGGGAAGCAGGGTAATGAGGATGTATTTAATAAACTTAAAATGCCCAGTAATACTAATGCCATAAATGATAGAATCACAGAATATGTCCCTACTGAACACAAGTCCATGTGTCCTGTCTTTCATACTGCTACCTCCTGTGCTCTTCAAGATGCCTTCCTGAGCTTACGTGGTTTACCTTTAATGCTTATTTCTAGTCAAGGTGGTTTGAATCCTACTAACCCTTAAAGCTGTCACAATGTAATTAGAGAAACCCAAGCTGGATCACACTATTTTTAAAAAAGTCCTCTGTTAGAAACATGCATGCCAGGAGATAAATTGCTCTTTTGTTAGATTTATTCTCAATTACCTTTATGCAGATGTTGGTTTGGGGCTGCAGATGTGGAGCTATTGGTGACTCACATCCAGTACAAGTGGGTGTATTCACTGGCAGCAGATGTCTGCATTCAAGATATGGCACCATCTAAAGAAGAAGTCACATCATATCATGTCATTAAGGTTATAATGAGGTTTTCAGTATTTTCCTGGTTAGAGTCTGCAGCAGCAAAGACACTAGAAACATAGCAGCTGATAGCCACAGCTGCTGGTACTGGTCCTTACAGATCAAAGGCTATTGAGAAAATATGAAGACAACTAGAAAGAGTGACTTCACTGACAACTAAAACTAGGCCAGAATGGATCTAGGTTAGTTTTCAGTAAAATTAAAAAGCCAGAGAGAAGACAGTTACAGGCATCACTGTAAAAACTTGGTGCTCTTACATATATGCCCACATCTGCCACCATTCGAGGTTTGAGGCATGATGGATCTTCTACAGCTATGACATAAGCATTAGTTACTAACTAACTGCACTAGTTAGCACTGGAACAAGATGCATATGCAGGTCCTGATGATGCAGTGGTTGTTGCAGGTTGAAGAGAAGCCTGAATTTGGTCATGTTTCCTGACAGTGGCAAAGAAAACACCATTTACTTTTCCAGTCTTACCCTTACCAACATATATGGCACTTGAAGGAACCTATGGTTCATTTTGCCCATCATTTAAGAATTGCATCCAGTGCTAAAGGTATTGACAAAATCACAGAATCACAGACTGGTTAGGGTTGGTTCCTTAATGAAATGTGCCCTCGTAAAAAATAATCATGAAACGCAAACAAAAGTCTCAAGGCTCAAAGTTTCACATGAACATGTAAGCAAGGTTATATAAAGATATATATTATATAAATATACATAATTAAAATTGTTACCTATTATAATAATAGAAATGCTTATGTAATATATCTATATTACCATTATAAATCATACACTTATTTATTATATTAATAAATGCTTTTCAGCCCAGTTGGGCCCATGACACCTGAGACCATGTGTGTGCATATGTGTGTGTGTGCATGTGCGTGCTGCAGGGAGTGCTGGGTGTGGGAGCCGTGGCATCTGCAGTATGGCTTCCCTACATGTAAAATGTGCACTTGCTGGGTATGTGACAGGGCTCACATCCAGCCCCACAGTCTCACGATATCGCTTGTCCCAGTGAAGAGCGGCCATAGTGGCACATCAGCTGGTTTTCAAGAGACCCGGTAACAGGAGGCAAAGGCATCAACAAGGGTCCACTGACCCATTCCAATTGCAAAGTCCACCAGCCAGAGAAAGACAAAGACATAGGCTAACTGCAAGATAAAGATGTACTTACAGTACAGGCTTTCTCCTTCATAAAAAGCAAAAGTACGCTGAGCACCTGGACACAATTCAGTAGTCACCTTGGTTGTGTTAGAAGTCTGTACAGGAAGAAAAATCAACACCACAGTGATAAGCAGTGAATTCTGTGTTCACGGGCTCTGAAATTTAGTAGCTCAATACAAATCACATCATTCTGCTTGATGTTTCGTTAGGTCATTCAACACTGCACTCCAGTACTATGCAACCTGTTTACATATATAAGGTCTCATAGTAGTGTCTTATGCAGGTGTTTAAGTTTAAACTATAAGGTCGGCAAATAGGGCTGTTTACCACATGCCTGAAATCTAGAGATACAGAATTTGAATGTCAGAAATATACTTTTAAGATACACAAACACTTCAGTTTCATTAAAGAAAAGCTGCTCACATAAAAGGCAATAGTAAGGAAATAACATTTGAAAACCAGAGGCTTGTGTATATCACTACAACTGAACTGAAATCAACTGAACTGTGCCATTCTGTACAAGCTGTGGAAGTGTCACAGCTTCCCTTACCTATCTCACGATATTAAAACAGGAGCAGTCTTTACATCAAATTACTCTTCCCTAATTCTGTTGTTCAGTTAATGTATTTGCTCAGTTTGGGCATTAAATAAACCCAGTCAGTTCCTAATCCCTTTCTTTTTTAGTGTTTGGGTATCAGCATGGTGGGGAATTGTCTGGAATGTACCTAACCACAGCAGTACACTGATATTTAAACACCTGAAAATAACCCTGATATAACATTGGATAAATATTTCTAGTTTTCAAAGAACAATTCAACCCCACACTCAAGTCAAAAGACAAGTATTTTTGGAGCTTCATAAAGGTCATCACTGTGCAAAAGCAGCCAAGCCTCTGCTTTGAAATCTGGCTGGTCTTTGGGCAAGTTTGAGGCAGAGCTTTCAAATTCTTCCACTGCCTTTTGAGAACCACGAAGATAGAAATTCTCATGAATTCAGGAACACTTTTCCAAATAAACCTGCATTTCTGCATCTTCCTTTCTCACTCAGTAAATGAGACTGGTTGGTACTCACCTGCTCACAGGACACTGCAGCAAAAAAACCTGCTTTACAGCTCTAAATTGCTTTGAACAAAGGAGTCTTAGCTGAACACGAAGCACCATTTTCAGATTCAACACAAGGAATCTCTACTTAAGATATGCACATTTTCCCACATTGCATTTAATAGCGATTAAGAAATACAATCAGCATAGCTCTCACAGCAGGGAAGTATTTGTAACACCTACCTCTGGGTCACAAGTCAGGTTTGCATACTTGCGCGGTGTTTGATTAGCCATTACTTTATACACAGGTTCTCCTGATGTAGCCAGAAAACTGAATGAGGTATTTTAAGGAGGAATCACAGAGCTGTGGGCTTTGAGCAATGCAGGAGTCTGCAGTGGGTAACCACGGGCTCTAAAACACTTGTGCTGGTAACAGAAAAACTGCTCTTGCTATGCAGAGATGTGTATGAGAGGTCACAGACAAGACTGACTACTTTCATTACTTACAGAACTAAGGCAGACTTCATCCCAGAGCTGTATGCCATAGCCAGAATGGGCAAGGAGGATAACCGTGAAGACTAACTCAGTCTCTGCTGCACATCCACCTCTGACAAGGCACATTATGCAGTAGTAGTTCTTTCAGAGTTTGAATTTTGGCGGGAGTAGACACAGAGCATAAGGATACATCAACACTGCAATACACAGTATTGTGCAATACACATTGTACACACGTACAGCAATAACTGACCCTCTTTGCATGAGAAAGAGCAATTTGTTTGCAAAAAGCAATGGTCCCCTTTCTGACACCTTACCAAAGCCTTGCCTTTCCAGGAACAGACACTGGCTGCTGTCAGGCAATTTAGAGCACTCAGAGTACTCTATGTTCTCTCACTCTTTTCCTGCATTATTCTGTACAAAACACATGCGGAGCCCACCCAAGCTAACTAAGTGACCGTTAACCTCATGGTCTATAGATCACACAGCCAAGCAAGGGCATATTCACTCTTTGCTAGGGTTCCTTTTTCACTCCCTGAAGCCAACCTTACGCAGTATAAAAGACCTTGTATGATCCTCTGCCTTGGCATGGATTTTAGTCCAGTTCTTTCTAATTAAATTGAATTCACTGTCCCGTTGGTACATCACACGCAAATGCCCAGTGAGGAAGAGTGCACCAATGCAGTGAGTGCCAAGTGACCAAATAGCACTTTTCACGCTGGTTTGGCTAAGGTGAAACAGCAGAGAATTATCTGGTCTTGTAGACTGTTCCTCCAGAGAGGTACATGGACAGAAGGATACCCAGGCATC